ATTAATCTGCATTTACAATTTTTTTTAAATCAAACCAGAATATTTTCTTTAGTATCCAGATTTTAGTATACATTTTCAAAACGGCTACACGTACATCACATTATACGTGAACTTACAACATACATATATAAAATACGTCATCATTAATATGTATTAATCTTAATTTGCATTTAGATTATCCAATTATTTCTTTATCATATCACACACACATACTAATATTAAAACAAAATTTGCATTATTCTGTTATATGTGTTATACGTTATACTGTTATAAAATCCGTCTTCATTTCTTTTGTACATTACAATATGCAAATAAAAATAAAAAAAACCACATAAATATTCGATGTGCCAAAATAAAAGGGTTAAAAATATAAAAAAAAAATTTAAATGCATTTTGCTTTCTATCTTTTCAATATGGAATAGTTTGTCTTTAAATAGAAAATTTTTTCCTATTTCACAGTGATTTATATTCGAAAGAAAAATGAAATTGCAAATGTTTGAATTTAAAATCCGTTTTGCAGAATTTCTAATTAAAAATAATAATAAAAAAAAAATTAAAATAGTCTAAAATAAATAAAATTGTATGCAAATTTTAATTTTTAAATAAAAAAAAAAAAAAATTAAATAATATAAAAGGGTTGTGTGTTTTCTGATTAAATAAAATAGAAATCTATTTTTAGAGAATTTTTCTATGTTTTTGTTTTTATTCTTATGATTCATTTACGTTACAGCACGTCGAATAACTTGAGGCTTTACATATTCTATAAATATGAACATTTTTATGTTGTTATTTAATTCACACATATGTACACACATATGTTGCCATTCTTTGTTTCTTTTATTTCTACTTATATGTCTAACCTGTACTATTTTTGAATATGATTACAATGTAACCTCAACTAAAAATAGGTTATCATATTGGTTTTATCGTATTTGAGTTTTGATAACTTTGTAATTAGAAGTTACTTAATGATAGGAAAATTGACAATTAACGTCGATTAATCTTAGTATGTGACAACAATGTCAAAATTTATAATCGTTTTATACCGTTTATATATTTTAACTTAATAATCGAGTAATATTTACTAAAAGTCACTTTCTAAATTTCGATACACTAAAATTTTATCGATTAATATCAGAAAAAATAATCGATTAAGATTTTTTATTAATTTAATTTAAGTTCGACTTTTATTTTACAGTTTCTATTGAGTGTTTATATTGACAGTTTCTTTTAGAAATATGTACATAGTTTAAAGTAAAATAGGGCTTAACTTTATACATATAGGGCTGCAAATCAAAATTTAGAATAATTGTTAGAATAATTTTTTCGAATTCTAAAACTTGCTTCTCTACATTATTTGATTCAATAATTGATTTTCTTTCTAATGTCTTATTAAACTTGATTTTATTTGATGGAGTTAAGTAAATTGTAAATTTTACGTTTATACTAAAATAAAAAAGACAAAAAAAAAGTTATTTTGCTACCCTGAAGCGACAAAATATTCTAAAAACATAAACTTAATGCCAATAGGCAGTCTAGAATAATTCGAAAAAAAATTCTATTCTTCTATTGTTATCCTTGTGTATTTTTTTTCTTGTTATTTTCATCTTAAGCTTTGAATTTTGCATAAAATGGCTAACAAATTTATTTAATTTATTAAAAAGGGATGAATATGAGAAACAAAATAAATTGAAAAATCAAAAAAAAATTATTTTAATTTCAATTTTTAACATGAGATCAAAAAGAATTCATTCGTTTTCTATTTTTTTTTTTTTTTGGTTCTCAAGGGATCCTTCCTGAAAATTGATATTTATTAAGTTTATTTAATTTTCAATTTTTATTAATACATACATATATGCGTTTATAAAAACTTGACCTTAGAATTATTAAAAATAAAAGAATAAAGTTATTTCACCTAAGTAAATAAAAAATATACTGTTTTGTATGTACATACATATATGCATGTAGTTACATACTTAATGTACGTGTTATACTAATAAAGGGTTAAATTTTCATTAAAATATCATATACGCATAGATATAAACCAAAGGTACTAAGTTAAAAATGAATACGGAAATTGAAAAGGGAATAAATTATATGGTCTCTCTATTTAATTTGTTTTATTTGAATAAAAAAACGAAAATTGAAATATGTACATACAGATGTATGTATATACATATGTATGTATGTATGAATAAAATATTTTGAGGTTAGCTTTGTTTCATATAAAATACAAATGAAATTTTTATATTAAATTTAAATTTTCAATTTTGCAATAAATCTTTTTTTTTAGAAATTACAAAATTTTTTTAGCACATTTTCATCTGAGTACAAAAATTTCTAATACGAAACTGGAAATCTGCGTACCAATCTTAATTGTGTCGAATCATAACAACGTTATAAATAATAAGAAATTTGGTGCAATAACATTGCTAGTTTATAATTTATTTTAAAACCTAGTTTCACCTTTCGATTCAACCCACTTTTCCAATGTTTTTGCTTAGTGTACTAATTCGGTCTTGCAAATTGACTGAATTCGGTCTTGCAGAAAATTAAAATTAAGGAAATGCTGTTTCATTGGAAGTTTTTTATATAGCAAAAACAAATTCTTAAAAACATAATGTGGCCATACTAAGTTTAAATTTCGTTTTATCAATAACTAAATCTTTAAAAGGAAATGTATTGAAATATTACTGTTTAAACATTGCCGTACAGCTAATCAAGACAGATTGATAAATCATAATATACGTAAGCGATCATAAAAATCACTTTGAAAATAATTTATAACCGTGCAGCCGGAATATTGGAATAAAATTAACTTAATATAAGTGTTAAATCAAATAAAAGTGATGATAAAATTTGATAATGGCCCTCCATTCCTTTATTATTATAAAATAAAATAACTTAACAAGCTTATGAAATTTTAATTACGAATATCCTATTTTTATTTCCTTTCTAATATAATTAGGAAATTTCTCAAAATATTAAAACCTTTACTCAAAAAAATTTCAGCAGATTGTCACCTTTCAATAATAAATTCCAATTAAATAGAATTGTGCTTAATCAATGCTTTATTTATGAAAAAATACCAAAGATTCCTTTAATAAATTATTAATTGATATGAAAATAAAAAAATAAACATGTAAGAAATTTTCAAATTTTTTATATAAAATAAAAATTTTTTAATAAAAATAAAACCAAGTAAATCTACCTTCCTACGTAAACACAGTAAAAAATTAAAATAAAAGTAAGGAGGGTGATTCTTTTACATTTTATTATTATAAAAATTCAAGTTAAGTGTTTAATAACATTTAATGATGGTATTTTAACGATATGACAATTATAAACACTTATATTAATATCAAATTTTATAATTCTTTTTTTCTACAAAGCAAAAACAGGTTTTTGTCTTCCTTTCTTTGTGTTTGAATATTGGCTCGTGCCATCTACAATATATTATCCTTTTAAACAAACATATGCATTTATATAGTAAATGTGTGAATGCATGTTGAATATATATTGGGAATTTTTTAACAATAATATCAAAAAGTTATTCTCCTCATATTTTCATCTTTGTTTCTCATTCTTTAATTTTTTTTTACTTTTAAATCCTCTAAATAAATAATGCAAGCACATATACATAATATGTCTATAGTTTACACTCTACATAATAAAAGCACAAAATACAATGTGCATGTGCATATGTGTACATCAGTGACCATATCTGTCAAGTATTAAAATTTTAAATTTTTGTATTTTAAGAATCGACGATTATCTACATACATATATAGCAGATGATGCATATAATAAAATGCAATGAAAATCATGTCGACAAGAAATTCACGTCGTCCCCATTATACAAATAAATTTTATTATTATATTTTTCAAAACAAATATATGTATATGAAATAATGTAACATTAAATGAGAATTTTTAAATTTAAATATGTACGAACATATATATAACATGTTTGTACTAATATGTTTTAATTTTCATTATTCTCTATATTATTACAGATATACTTTTATCTTTATAATAATATCTTAGCCGCTAATGGGCATCGACCCCACCTTTTATGACTGATCACAAAATTAACAAACAAAACAAAAAAAAAAATGAATTAATAATAAGAGAATTAAAGAGAGGTGCATCTACAATAAATTTACATATATAATAAAAATATAAAAAAAAATGTATACCTAGTAGTAACTCTTAGACATAGTGCAAAAAGCAAGAAGCTTCAAGAATTCTTTACTTTTTAATTTAGTATACTTATGTTGTCTCTTTACATTCACTTTAAGACACCTTACAAATTGGTGTTACCGCTTTTTATTCTAGTGTTGTCGTATTACAGCAAATATAGGTTTATTTGCAACTTTTTCCATTTTAATTTTAATTTTCTGAAATTTTTAGTCTATTCGAAACATTTTATTTATAATTCCAAATAATTGGCAGTTATTTCTTATTATTTTCCAACAATATTTTACTTAAATATAAATTTTCCATACAAATCTTTTATTCCTTAGTATAATGTTCAAATTCAATGTCTTGAATGTTAAATTTCCATTTAATAAAACTTAAATTCTTTAATAATCACAAATCAAAAAATCTACTTTAAATTAAAATTTAATTTTTATAGAAAATTAAAAAACATAAGTGACAACACTAATTTACCAATTATGAAAATATTCGTAATTTTCATATTATCATCCATCGGCATACTTTTTAATCGTTGTAGGGGGAAATTTATTTTCCCTTTTTTTTTTTCGTTTCACAAGAAAAAGTAAAATATTAAAGGAACTTTTTATAAACGGTATACAAGAGATACAAAAAACAAGTAACATAACATAATAAAATGTTAAATCAGCATAAAAATACAAAAACAAAGCCGAACAAAATGTATGTAAGAGCAAAAAAAAAATTATAAAGAAAAACAAAAAATTAATAATAATAAACAGGTATCTTTTTTTTTATAGTTATTTTGATGTTATTGTACTTACTTTGAAGTTTTGTAAAGGTGCACGGTGATGTATCAACTAAAGCAGTTTGCAGGTGTTTTAATGATGATTCAAACCAACCAAATACTTTAAACATAAATCCAAGACGCAGGTGAGCTTCATTGGCACGTGCGAATTCCGGACAAACGTATAATAATTCTTGAAATGCTCTTATGGCCCTATTTTTAGATAAAAATAAAAATAAAAAAACAAAAATAAATAAATAAATAAATAATAAATATAAATTAAATTAACAACCAATAATATATTCAATAAAATTAAATTATAGAATTAAAATTGAAAGAAATACACAATTTTCACAGAATAAAATTTGCATTTTAAAAAAAAATAGCACAGCCCACATTTAACGAAAAGAAAAAATAAAATTTCAATTGTACATCCAATATTATTAAAAAATTCCGAATTTAGAGCTTGTAAGTTGAATTGTGTGTATAAAAGTAATATAGTATAATACTATATTGTAATTTGTTTGTCAGAGAAATATTACATTAAAAAAAAATATAAAGATTATGGCTAAACTTGTTTTCCATAAATTTTTAATTAAAATCTGATTAAAAAATTATTAATTAAAATAAATTTTGAAAACTTCACGTAAAAGAAAACATGTATTAACGTTCATATATCAATCACAGAAATCAAAATATTATAACAGTCACCAAAACAAATTTAAATCATGCATTTGATTATAAAAATTTGCACACAAAAGTGTTATAAAGACGTTCTTAAATGCAAAGAAATTTGACAGTAAGCTGTGAAAGTAATGTTTATTAAAAAACAAAATCATATAGGTAACCAAATCAATAATCTACAAATTACATATTTTATGGTATACCAATAATAATTAAGACTTAATAATACTACAACAGATTTCATGGTCGAAACGCTTATTATAAATAGATTAAAGATTTAAAAAAATTGAATTTAATGAAAGTAGCTATAGTTACATTCTTTTAAAGCAAAATTGATAAAGTAACATAAAATTTTTAGCTTACACTTTCATCTTACACTTTCAATAACAAATTTTGGAGGAAATTCTTTTCTTTCTAAGAGCTTGGTTAGAGTCATATTGATTTATTTTAATACAATTTTCCATATACATATGTATATGTATGTAAATACACGGTTTTTAAGCCTTCTTACATTAATTTTTATGCAAGACAGTCACCCTTTGCTTTTTATATAAACATATTCTTAAATCTAAATAATGGTGAACTGAATGAACTGCAGTACGAGATTTTAACAATCACAGAATAGGTAGAAACGGTCAAATAAATGAGGCAAAACATTAAATAAAAAAAAAGGGTTGTCATATGACTTTGCTGCAAATAAGTACTATGAGAACTTATTATGCACACATCATAATATTATACATATATCTAAATGTATATGCGCTATATATTGTACATCTTATCTGTTATTTTATGGACTTAAATTATGATGCACATCACTGAATTTTATTTTAATTCAGAATTTGTGTTCCATTATATTGTTTTTTTTTTTCTGGGTTAAAAAATTTAATACGAATTGCCCATTCTCAGTTAATTGTTATACGTAATACATTCAAAATATGTATGTATGCACATATATATACAAATATATTTGTAAATAGTTTATGTAATATACTTCAAAGCATAATATAGTTGAGTAAACATTTCAAGGTATTGTTATGCTATTTATCAATGTCAAGCTATCAACAGTGGTGGATGAACTTAAAAATAATTATTTTCACCCTCTCTCGTTTTTTTTTATGTTGTTACTCTATTGTCACTTTATTGAGAAAGTAATTTTTTTGTTCCTGTTATTGTAATTTTGTTGCAAATGACACGTGCTAAATCATTAAATATTAAGAAAGAGAAAAAAAATTTTAAATTTTAATCCTATTTTTATATGGACATTAATGTGCACATATTTACATACGCGCTTACATTTATTACGAAAAGAATGTATCATACTGACTGTACACAACATAAACATGTGGGTATGAATGTTTAAGAAAAGCCATAATTTTTTAAATCCCTGCATAACAATACAAATGAACAATAATACGTACATAGAAATAACAAGTGAGAATGAAAATAAATGATTTGTAATAAATCTATTAACATTTGGTTTAATATTCCTAAATTCGGACAAATTTGAATTACTTTTCTAATACATTTTTCTGTTACTTAGAAAGTAAGAAAGCTAAGACCTTAAACTAATTATACCCAAAAAATGTTCTCGACTACATGTACTACCTATGCTACATAAATGCAGAAATTTTTTATTAGAAACATTATTGTCATTAACCATACATTTTTGTAAGTTTTCTGTCAACACCGTGTCAGATGGACAGAAATAAATTTTGAAAGCAAATTTTTAACTGATCTCTTTGTCGTTCTATTTTTTCTTTTGATAATTTGCCAAAAATTTGTTATCTTGACATTATGTCAGAAGAGTTATAAAATTTTAACAATACGTATTCTTTTTTGAATAAATTTAAAAATAAAAAGAAAAAATAATAAAAATAAAGAAATAAAAATGTTCAAAAGTACATATAAAATGTTACAATTAAATTTAAAGAACTTATAAAAAAAAATTTAATGAAAATGTCGGAAGGCGTTGTTGTACTTTGTTCTTATACTCATATTGAATAGAAAACGGGAAAATTAAAAAACAAAGGGAAGAACATTTAAAATGACAAAAACAAATTCTCTTCGACCCGTACAATTGTAAATTTAATTTAAAATTTTTGTTACACCAAATTGAAAAGTGACTGCAGTTCAATTGAAGTGTAATTAAAACATCAAATTAATAAAACAAAATAGAAACTGTGTGGAAATTTTGTAAGTTATTAAACTTCAACTGTACATTAACTACATATGTATGTATGCACAGTGTACTTGTTTAAGTATAAAAATAGCATTTTACTCTGGATTTAATTGAAGTTTACATAACGCGCCATTATGTAGCATACGCTTACAAAGAGTATTCACAATATAATAATAATATAAATTAAATTGTAATATTGTCTATGGCAGATTAAATTACTGCAGATTATAGGTAGCAGAATTTTTGCATTTACGAAAAGTTTTCTGAAATAAATTTATATAAATTTCGAATCTGCTCCAGTTTTATACATATTTTAGAATGAAGAAAACTTCTTTTGATTTGATGAAGGCAGTTCGATAATCATTATTAATTTTTATCATTATTCAAATAGTTTCTTCATACTTCAAAATTATAAAAAATGCTTAGAAAAAACTTTTAAAATTACAAATCTAAACTTTGTGGTTATATTAATTACATATATACATACATATCTACATAAGTGCATTACACGTCCATTAAATGCAACTCACGTTTTAAATTTATTTGCATTTTCTAAAAGGTTTGCATTTTCGATCGCACAATGTACATATGTATGTATGTATCTAATTTGAAGGACTTTTTTTTAGAGAAACAAGAGTTTAACAAAAATAAAACTTAAAATTAAATAATTTTAAAAAATTATTTTACTATTGTCCAATGTATTTTAGTATTTAATTTGCGGACTTTATCTGAACACATTCGCTAGAATTTTCCAACTAGGTTAGCCCAGTGATGTTTCTTAACACTTTGTAAATTTTTTTTTAGCTATTTTAAGACTTCGTCAACGTTGCTACTGTTCCTGTTGTTAGTTTTCAAATAACATGGATATCTTACTCCTCACGTCACGCCGCGTGCCCTATGACTTTAAATTGATTTGAATTTAATTACATTTAAAATTAACACAATTATCTCTTTTTATACACAATTATACATATGTATGTAAATATATGTATGTACTTATGTATGTACATAACACAAAGCACACAAATTTTCTTCTAAAATACGCAAACAAAAACATTATATAATTAAAACAACATCTCATTTCATTCATGTGTCCAAACCCATGTGTCTACATAAAGACATAAGTATGTATGTGTGTATAATGTTTAACGTGAAATTTAAAAATTACGCAATGTTATTTATTTTTTGCAAATCATGCCAAATAAATATTAAGTAGTAAACGTTTATTAAGTATGAAGTAGTGTACAAGTGTTCATAATAATTTGTGTTACTTATAAAACTTTTCGCTATATGGTATAATATCCATGGTACGTACATATATATACATTTTATGTGGTTATGCCTAAAATTTCTCACATTTAATCATAAATTATAATACAATCATTTCAAAAATAACTAACCTAACTCAACAATATTTAAACAGAAAGTAATAAAAACAAACACACATACATACAAGGCATATCCACAAAACTATAAAATATAAAAAAATGAAAAGAAAATGAAAATTGGAGTCATTGGCACAAAATCTCTTTTTCAAATTAAAATGAGCAAAAAGAAAAAAAAAAAACAAAAATCTGTCTAGATTTTGCAACATAAGATTGTTTGGATAAAAAAAAAAATTTGTGCCAAAATGACGCAAAAAAAAAATTAAAAAGTCAAAAACAGAATAAAAAAACAAATAGCAAATATGTAAATATTATTTTTTTATTTTAACCTGTGAGCGCAAAATTTATCACTGTTATTTTTAAGATTTTAAACATAATTGGTAATTTAAGAAAAACCTTTAGAAACTTTAATAATAACTTTAATGATCAAGATGATCTTACCTTACAGGTAACACAAGTGAGTAGTTGCATATGATTGCACAATGACTTTAAAATTTTATATTGTACATATATGTACATATACATATATATCATTGCTTGTAATCGCATGTCACTATTGCTCTCTCGTATCACCTCTTTGCATATTATAATAACCTCCCACTGCAAATTTAAATTTTTCTGTAACTTACTCGTATTCATATATGTATGTATATATACATAAGTGATTTTTTGGATGAGTAATTTATTGTATCATAACATCTCATTTTTTATCTCATAAGATAAAAAATTTAATCATTTTGGGATTTTCGATTTCAAAAAAGTCAAAAAATCATATTTCTGTGTAAGCGGAAAATTATATAAAATGAATGAGTTCTGCGAAAAGCATATAAAATTCAAAAAATATTTTTATAAAACAGCGAAATAGTACACAAAGATCATTGTACCTATTTTTGAGACTAAGAAATCACTTAAATCTACAATTTTTGCAACTAGGTTCAAAATATTTACTAAGTCAT